CCGATCACCGCGAAGCTCATGGCCAACATGCTTCAGACTGCCGGCTGCAACCATGTCATCACCATGGACTTGCATGCCAGTCAGATCCAGGGCTTCTTTAACGTCCCCGTCGACAACCTGTATGCCGAGCCTAGCATGTTGAAGTGGATCCGGGAACATCTGGACGTGACCAACTGCGTCATCGTCAGTCCTGATGCCGGTGGTGCCAAGCGGTAAGCAACTGACACACTCGATCTTGTTCTGAGGACGCACGTGCTGACTGTCGAACAGTGCCACTGCCATCGCCGACCGCCTTGACCTGCAATTCGCCCTGATCCACAAGGAGCGTCCCCGCCCTAACGAGGTCTCGCGCATGGTCCTCGTCGGTAGCGTGAAGGACAAGATTGCTATCATTGTTGACGACATGGCCGACACCTGTGGTACCCTCGTCAAGGCCGCCGACACGGTCATGCAGCACGGTGCTAAGGAGGTTAACGCCATTGTTGTCCACGGTATCCTCTCCGGCAAGGCCACCGAGAACATCAACAACAGCTGCCTCAGCCGTGTCGTTGTTACCAACACCGTCCCTCACGCCGAGAAGAAGGAGCAGTGCGACAAGATTGAGACCATCGATATCAGCCCCACCCTTGCCGAAGCCTGCAGACGTACCCACAACGGCGAATCCGTCAGCTTCTTGTTCTCTCACGCCGTCGCTTAAATGCATCAATGGCTTTCGACAGTGTGAGGGTGGAGGTAGCACGGTGCTGCGTTGGTGATTTATCCTCCATGTTGAGCATGATCAGGTTCTTTCATGAATATTGAAGGATCTTGGGATTTTTCAACTTATGATACTAGGAGCTCGGACGGGATGTAGTAGTCCCTCCTTGCGCCTTCGCTTGTTCTTTTTCTTTTTCTACTTTAAACGCAGCATCTTTAGATTATGCGGATTGCATGAAACACATGAGGCAGAGAGCCCTGGACGGGTTGGATGAAAATGGATTGAGAGAAAGATACGGGGGGGGAAGCCAAGGCTGTCTTTTTCTTTCTTTGCCTGTTTTGGCTTTGTTTATCAACTCCAATTGAAGCATATGTACATATATTTACAACCCCCTCGGAGTTTTGCCCTATTTCGGTCTGAGTTTGAACTTCGACCACCAAGTACCCTTTATGAGCGGAATGAAATATGAAATGGATTTGATAGAGATTTTGAGGTTGTGCTTGATGTTTGGCGGTGTAGACTGGGAGGTATCTTGGATTATTCGTTGCCTTAGATCGGATGTGATTTGTTTACATAGGATAGTACTTCAAGATCCGGAGCAAGGGGCTCTTGCATTGAGGCAGCCATTGGGAACTGTTTTCTCGATCTTTAGAGCACGAACTTCGATTCGGATTGTCAATTCACCTTGGGTTTACTATGTACTGTAATGCCACAGGAGCAAAAACACAGTATCAGATTGATCAACTGAGAAAGAGAGCATCCACCCACCCTCGGTACATATATATACGTACCATTCGTGTCGCAGGATAATCCCCGAATGCAGTACCTTGCAATTATCAAGACGCACACACTCGTAAGCACTACGAAAGGTATAGCGTCTACTCTCATGTTCTGCGACTACGTGTTAACATAAACAATCTAGCCGTCGAATATAGTTGAGGATGGTTATGCCAGTGTCCACTGAGTCCGATGGGCGAATGTACCTTGCTCAATAGGAAGGTGGCTTCCGCTGCAGTGCTGCCCTGAATTCCTGACCTCGTCGTTCTTTCGCTCACCAATGGATTATCAGTAGCTCAATTTTATTCCTTATTCGTGGTCTCATTCTCCCAGTAATGACGGAATCACCTCGGACCGGCTGCTGATACTTGGACCCAGGAAGACGAAGAACCGTCTCTCTCCTTTCTCTCTCCCACTTCCGATCTAGCTATAGAACATTGAAGTACTACTGCATTCAAATCTGCTATGGATACACTAAACCCCCACCCCCTTGGTTTTTAGTTTTGGTAAGTAGTCTCTCACATTGAACGAGCGGCAGTGACCAGCTCAACCCAAGAGATATATGACTTAAAGTCAAATAACGAAGAATCCCACACCGGTTGCTCCTCATACATACATAATTTGGGATGGAACATATGGTTTCTGAGACAGATCCAGTGGTTCCAAAACATTGGGAAGTCACTCAGATCAACTGAGCTAACTGCCGTATACCTGCTAGGGATGTATGCATCATTGCATAGTGGGCACTGTGTGGGTCAGTTGCACAAGGAGCGGCTTGGTTGGTGATTTATTGGGCAGTGATCGCGAGACTGACACCGTAGAGCTCAGGCAGGAAACAAAAGAAACCTAAGGCAGTGAGTGAGCACCGGCCACTCGGGGGGCCAGATTGATTGATAAGGGCTTGGGGGGGGTTTTCTTTTTAAAGGTTCCGGTCCTCGGTGCGGTGTGCTGCCCTCTCTCCGCAAGTGGGCGGCGGGTTTTTTCTTTATTGTGGGACGGGTTGGGAATTGGATCGTGAGGTGGAGACCACCATACACACATTACACTAACTTACACCACAGTACATTTATCACTTTGTGTACAGTACAATTCTGGGCGAGAGGGGTGATTATAGAATCTTGAAGTGGGCAGAGCTGTATGTGGTACAATGTTATTCGGAGTGAGTGGTGTTGAGCCTGTCTCTTTGGGTACTCTACAGTGCAAGGCAAGGTTGCTACATCGACCTGTGTGCAGGTGGAAATACAAAGCTTTGACTCTTGAAGAAGACACTTAAGAGTTCTTTCACAACAGAAGTAAACCAGATCGTAGTTGTGGCAGATATTCGATCCCCAGGCAAGAAGGATGGTTAACCTAGGGAATTCCAAGAGGTATCACTTTTCCTTACCTGCGAGGTATGGTAGGTATACTTTGCAATTCTCCATCTTGAAAGACGAAGAGGTGAAGGATGTTTAGAGAAAAAAAAAAAAAGGGAAACACATTTTAACATTTTTTGCTTTTCATGCCCGTTCGAAAGGTTTGGGATATTGCATTTCCATTTTTTGGATAAAACAAATAAAGTGGCACGCCAAAGTCTTGGTCCCGCAGACGCCCATAATCTCCTCCGTCCCCCAACCTTTTCTCCTGGCTAGATTTTCCTTCCGTCAAGGAAGTCAAGGACTACGTTCGTTTCCCCTGCTACGGAGTGCAAGATAGGACGCGGAAGAGAGAGAGAGAGAATGAAAGAGAGGGAAGGAAACCCCCTTCCCGTTGCTGAGATTTCCTTTCCTATACTTTCTTCCCCGCTGCAAGTCTCTAACATGCACTAGAACAGAGACGACACAGCCCCGACCATTATTCCCCGTGGACGAAAAACATTTACTTTCTCATCGAAGAGGCTCTGCGCTTGCGGAGCTCGTCACGCTTGGCCTTCTCCTCGTGGACACGGCTGGCGAGGAGCTTGGCGTAGTCGTTACTGTTGGATAAGTGGTTAGAACTGATCAACGTCCAAATGACCTGGAGCGGCCGGTGGGATGGGAAAGAAACTTACGCAGCCTCGCGAGCAGCCTCAGCGCGGCGGCGCTTGAGGGCAACCCTTTGGCGCTTGCGCTGGAGACGCTGGGGAGTGACCAGACGCTGGATCTTGGGGGCCTTGGTGTAGTCGGCCTTGCCCTCACGGGTGACGGTACGGCGGATGACGAACTTGCGGACATCATCCTTCTTGTCGAGACCGAAGAAACGACGGATCTTGGTGGCACGCTTGGGGCCGAGGCGCTTGGGGACAACGGTGTCGGTGAGACCGGGGAGCTCACCCTCACCCTGCTTGACGATGCTCAGAGCAAGGACGGCGAGATCCTGACCGGTGATGGCTGTGGAAAAGAAACATTGCGTGTCAACACCCCGACTCGTCGTTTAATCTCAAGGATCTCGGATCTGTAGAACATACCACCACGGACACTCTTGCGCTTGCGCTCACCGGTGCGGCGGGGGCGGTAGCAGCTGTGGCCCTCAGCGAGGAGGAGGCGGGTACGGGTAGGAAGGAGAACTGTTCAAGAGGCGAGATCGGTAAGTTTTCTGTCTGGTTTCTCGTGTGGTTGGGCGTTCAATGTTGGTCGGTTACATACCACCCTGCTTCATGGGGAAACCTAATCATGTCAAGTCAGCGTTCATGTCTCGATATACGAACGCATGTCGTTCCAGTCTGCTGCGCGCATCCTTCATCCCCCCAATCTCTCCCCGCTCTCCCCATGACCTCTCCAACCGGCGCAGCAGATGAAAGACGAAGGAAAAGCGGTGTTCCCAAATCGTACCTTGCTTGTCGTTACCACCGGTGATCTTGAGGAGGTAACCCTTGAATTCGTCACCGAGGGAGTCGCCGGGGACCTGTAATTGCAAAATTCATCCCAATCAGCCAATCTGTTCATCCATTTCCCCCGTCGTGTGTGTAATCGTGTGCAACTGTATTTCTGGAGGTTTTGTGTGTGTTCTTTTTCTTTCGATGTGTGGTTTTCCGAGCGCGTCCATTTTCTTCAAACAGGGGAGGAGAGGGTAATGCTGACTTCGGTTCCCATGCGCTTCTCCATGAAGGGACGGAGCTTGCGCTCATCGTCGATCTCGATGATCTTCTGAGACCCATTGGCCGGGTAGGAGATGTTGAGCTTCATCTTGACGGGGCTGCGCGGTCAAGACGGAGGGCGCGGGTTTGTCGACAGGTCGATGAGGTTCAGGTCGTCGGGGATTCGTTCTTCGTGGGATTTTTTTGGTGGTGTAGCGAGATTTCCCTGTGTGGGCGGATGACTAATGCCACTAGCCCGTTGCGTGCTAGCGCTCTCGGTAGGGCTCTTATGTCAGCCGCCGGCACCTGATTTTGCTGCATGCCTGAGGCTGCAGGCATCCACAGATTTTCGTTGACACCTACAAATTCAGGCATGAAGAGAGACACCAGCCAGGCACCAATCAGGCACTCAACCAGGCCTTGTTCGCGACTCTCGCACGCCCAGCACCAATGAAGATCCCACCCTGAGATTAACCAAGTATTCCAGCGACTACAGTACACTCACCACCATCATACCCTCGATTCCTTGCAATGCAATTTTCACAAATCTTTGTCAATCCTAAGACACGACCCACAATGCGCAATCTGACATGCATCGCGTCTATGTCAAACACACACACACACACACACACACAACCCACGGTATGTAGCCAACAGCAAACACACATACCCATTGTCGATTCACACGGTGTCAAAACCACCCAACCCATCAATCAATGAATGAACGATCATGCGGGTCATCCGCTTTCACTTCTACCAAGCAACGGCGCAAATCAAGCCACCTTCAGGAGGACATTTCATGCCTGCCAATCAATCCAATCCCACTGCATCCCGTATTTGAGATTCAACCAGAATACTACTACGCCGCATTGATTCCCACCTGGTAGGACTCGTGCCCCTCCTCGTGCAAGTAGAGTACTCTCCTACGTACGGAGTACTGTACAGTATACTGTATGTACATCGTCGTTGGTGGACTTGCCAGATTGAATTGTTCCCAATTTCCCCGAAATTCGTCATCGGAGTTGTCGGTCGAGATTGACTAATTGGAGATAGTCGGCGGCGCGGGGGGTTATGCAGTCCGCACGCACATTGCACAGTCACACGGAGATAGATTAGGAATAGATTCGATAGATCGATCGATACCGTAGGATGGCTGGATATCAACGGGGCAAGATACAGACAGTACAGTAGTGGACACAAATCATGTTTACTGTACCGAGTGTGAGAGGAACAGGAAAGACCCGACCCCTGTTCAACAATACGTCCGAAGACTAATTCGAAGATCTGTCCCCAGGTTTTCGATATGGCTAGACCTGACTGCATAGCCTTACATGTGGTACGTATGAGAGTACTCATATGAACGGCATTCTTAGAGTAAGTGAATATGGGTAGAGGATCCCGTTGGAGTAAGTTCAGTTACGGAGTAGCGACTTTTAGTTACCAGACCACTGACGCAACCCTCCGAATCGGCCAAGCAAAAAGAAGCACGCGACTGGTTACCGTTCCGAAGCCCGCCGCGCGGCCACTGGAAGATGATTTGACAGCCTTATTGCAGCCATGAGGCGGCGGCAGCCGCAGCAGTAATGATGCTGATACAGTAGATGATAATATGGTTCAATGTCATCGTGGTCTTACTCCATTTTTCTCCCCCTCCTGAAGAACTAGAATAGTATACTCGTAATCAATCCCTTGAAACTCTCTTGGGGGGGCCGCGAAAAAGAAGCACTTCTTTTCTGTCGTCTTTTGAACTTCTCTTTTTTTTCCCCTTTCAATCCTACTACGCTTTTCTACTCTCCTTCCCTCTTGCCCCGATTATCCATCCCTCTTCCCCCCTCCACCCCCGAAATTTATCGTACTCGTTCAACCCTCACAGAAATCCTTCTCCAGTCTTACGTCCCCACTTATCCGGGTTCGCTCGCTGTCTATCGCCACGCTAACTTATCGTCTGCGGTACCACCGGAAGAGCGACGTCGTTGTCTTTGTCGGGTCCCTCCCAGCTTGTTAAATTAGGGGAAATAGCAGGAAAAAAGTCCCTGCTGGCTGGTTTGTTGGCGCAGCAGATCCCCTACAGACTGGTTTACTTACCACTTTCCTCTTCCTCTTCCTCTTTTTCTCGCTCTTCACTCCTCTCTACTCTATTATACTGGGGTTTCTTCGTATTCGCTTTTTCTCTTGCTCAAGACCAAACTTGATCAACTTCCTTTGAAACCTAAAAAACGGCCGCAAGCTCTCTTTTTGTCGGCTGGAACACGCCCGCAACAAAGACATCGGCCGGTCGCTTCGAGTGTCTATCGGCTTCGCCGCGCGCCAGCCTTCACCACCTTGGTCGCAAAACTCGCCGCCGTCCTTTGTTCGCGGCCCTTGATGTCCCGTACTCATGCGCCTCTTTAGCAAGTTCCACGCCGTCTGCGCCTTGGCGATATGCAGCATCCTGCTTTCTGCCTCGTTCCTCGCCTCGCAGCACTATTATCGTCGGGTCGTTGCCGATGAGCCATCGGTCAAGCTTCGCCCGGCAGCATCGTTTGACCGCCGTCTAGTTGTCTTTGGGGATTCTTGGAGCGACGACAATGCCGCTGAGATCCAAGGGTCCGTTTGGACCGAATGGCTGTGCTCCTCGGTAAGTGCAGTGCTATGAGACCAGATCCATCACACTAGGTATGACAGGCTAATCATCCCTTCCCTGGCAGTTTTCATGTCACCATGAGAACCTGGCCGAGACCGCCAAGTCTTACAGTGGAAATTACTTTGGCTCGGTCGTGGATAACTCACAGCTATCGGGCTCTTTACTCAACCTATACAAGTCTCCCCTGGCCGACCTGAAAGCCCAGGTCAGCAATTGGTTGGCAGCCGAGACAGAAGTCATGCAGGCGATGAACGCAGAAGCGATCGGCACCCGTCAAAATCGGACCATTGTCATCCTTTCCTTTGGCGTGTGGGACCTGTGGAATGTTGTGGGCAAGACGTACAAAGAAGCGACCCAATCGATCGACAATACGCTGGACGTGATCATGGATCAGCTCAATCTGCTGGCGGAGCTCTGGGGCCACAACGATTTGAAACTTATCCTGACCTTGGCCCCGGATGTGACCTTCTTGCCTGCATTCCGGGTCCAGGCCGAACAACACCAGGCGAAACAGAAAGACGCGATCAGCATGTCCGACTATTGGAACCAACACCTGCGACAAAGAGCGGATGGCTGGGGCAATGGCACGATCTATTTGTTCGATACGAATGCTTTCCTGGCCGACCAGATCCGCGACTGGCAGCTCTTCGTTGCTGGGATCGAGGAGACCAATGGATTGGGCAAGAACGAAGACCCCGGCTGGGAAAACGTAGAAGACGCATGCGTCCAGAGCAGCCAGCAATGGATGGTGACATCAGAGACGAAGAAGTGTGACCGTCCGGAGAAGTTTTTGTTTTGGTAAGAACAAGGCATTATGCTTGGCGCTCATGACTCGACTGGAAAGGCTGACCTCTCTCCCTTCAGGAACGAGATGCATTTGGGACCGTCCGCGCACCGACTTTTGGGCATGGAAGTCTTTCACGGGATCCAGGAGATGTGGCTCCGGTAAAGTTCTTTACACGAACAAAAAGGAAAGAAACCCACACCAGACACAAATTGGAAAAAAAAAAAAAAAAGACAGACAGAGAACAGACAAAAAGCAGAGCAAGACACACAAAGAAATGTTTCAACTTTCCTTTGATGGGATCCTGGCCATGCCACTTAGTCGTAATTCGCTCTGCAGGGAGCGATGACCTGTAGAGGATGACTGGTACACACTGGCCTGTTCCCGCAACTATCAAACGCTGACGGAACAGGCGACCAAAAGGCCTTGGGCGCAGCTCTCTGTCGGGCCTGCACACGATCGCAGTTCAGGCGATGCTGGAGTGAGACTTGAGACCTGTGGCGTCACCAGTGGAAGGCACCGGATATCATCACTAGCATCCGGTTGTGATAGCAGCTGCGCCGAGTTCTGACAGGGTTTGGAGGTCTCAGGCACGGCTTCAGATCTGAATTAGGGATTGGCAAGGTGGTATGTCTCATTGAGAGACATTGAGAGACCGGGAAGAACAGCAGCAGCGGGTATGGGTATTCGTGACGTCTGCTTCAGTCGGGTGGAGGATTGTTGTAACGTGATTGTAACGTGACTTGGTGTATTGAGGAGGTGTGCCAGGGGTGGGTGGGTGCGGCATGCGATAATCAGCAGAGATTTGGAGAAGGGGATTGACTGGGTCCTGCAACCTCAACGTATCAATGACCCAATACCTTATCCTCCCCCGAAGGCCTGGAAGGAGTCTGGATCCAAGGTGATCAAGAATGATGCAAGATGAAGAGTGACTTCAGTGGGTACTGGGTAGTATTCTTTGTGAAAGACAAGATAAGTTGAACCTGGTTTTGGAAGAAACAACAGGGGAAAATAGTTGGGTAGGGGAGGAGGAGTGGGACTGGAAAGAACAGGGGGAAGGGAAGGGAAAGAAACTATCATTGGTTTGGTTTGTCTCGTTTAAGAAGTACAGTACATTCGAAAGTTCAAAGCTACTTATGCTCTTTGCTCTGCTCTGCTCCTTTGTTTGAATCAAAGGAGGGGGTGCGAGCGGCTGTCAGACAGTCTCGGGACGATCAGTCACTAGCTGATGAACTTGGTAGCTCAAGCAAATGAACTATCTGTCGCGGTCTGTTTCCTATGGGGGTAAAATAGGCAGAGAGCTGAGCCCGCCGCGGATGAGAGACCGCTAGTTCCGCTTGGCCTGTCAGTGGGTAGCTTTCTGTTAGCTGTTTAGCCCCGAGGCCCAGGTACCGGTACGTGGGGAAAGGCGATTTCACGAACGGTCTAGATCTGGATCTTGCGTGTACTCCGTAGGTACAGTAGTAGTACCTTGGAATGGAAGTACAGTACAAGAATACTAGAATACTCATATGTAGTGTCAATGGAGGAGGACTCTGATGATGATTGGAACTTGTGTTGAGAGTAGTTGATAGTAAACTACTAGGTACAGAGAAGTACTGTACCTAGTACTCCGTTCTATCCTTGGCTGATTGCTACTCCATTGTCAGGAGTACGGTCAGTACCTAGTAGGCAACCCGACAAGGTACAGTACACTTGTTTGGAAGGGAGAGGGGAAGGGGGGGGGCAATCAAACCCCAAGAGCAGTTCTCGCTCATTACCTAGTACTACGGACTAGGTACTACTAAGGTAAAGTTCGGGTGTCACATTGGCGGTGGGGAGGGAGGGCATGGAAGTAGATGTGATTGGCCTCGGATGGCAGCCGCCCACCGCATGCGGACTCCCCGAGAACAAAGGAAACATTCAGCGAACAATACCCTTCCATTCTGTCTCCCTCCGTAACTATCGGCCTCTTCTTTAAATATCACCTTCATCATAGATGATCAGGAAGTTGGTAAGTAGGTCATCACTGGACCTTTCTGATTCGAGTTAGTTTGACATGATTCTGTTTGCTTGTAGTAGGTGACTTTGATGACTCAATCAATCAATCAATCAATCAATCAATCAATCATCCTTCCTCATCCTCATCCCTCCCCTGTTAACAGTCAATACCGTCATTATCCCATCCCATCCCAGCCCATCGATCTCCTTTGTTACCACTCCACCTAGTAACAATTCTTCTCTTCCCTTCTCACACGCCCCAAGTATAATCGGTTTATGATGTCAACGTTTCGGCATCCCACGGACTACCCATTGCGGTGCTCTTTCTATTCGATTGTAGTATGGTAACCTGCATCCCACTTGATGAGATTTGGGGTTTCATTTGGATCTCGAGGAGAAACAAACTATCTTGTGTGGTGGTGGAGATTTCCAACTAAGACCGGGCTATTCGGCTTATCCTGGCAAAGACAGACAAAGAAACCCCGGTTCCAGAATTAGGTGATTTCATGTAGACTAAGACCTAAGACGTACATGTACGTAGTAGGGGAGGGAAAAAAAAGTTAAGGCACCGGGTCCAAAGATAGTCGGCTCTTATAACAAAGCACTTCAGAAAGCCAAATCCCCTCCGGCTTTCTTCCCCGGCGCCCTCTCTTTTTGGTAGGTTTGGTTTGAATAGAACCGTCCTATCATTCATTGTCAAAAGTCAAAAGTTCCCCTCCCTCCATAATTGAGATTCGGACGAGAGACAGAGAAAGAAAGGAAATAATTCGAAGAGGGCTGCCACAATAAAGAAACGAAAAGGCAAACCAAACCAACCCTATCCTTGACGCCCAGGGAAAACAAAAGAAGAAACACAAGTCCCTTGCCCATCGTTATTGGTATTATTCTCATCATCATTATTATTATTATTATTACTATCATTTTCATTATTATTATCAACCTCCTGATTATTATTATTTCCACTACCATTTGTGAATTTGTGAATACCGAGTGTGTCGCCAGCCCAGCGACGTCCCCAACCACGAGGCAAAGTCATTCGTTTTTGGCCTCCTCAGCCCTTTTGATTGATATGTGCATGTCTTTCTTTCATCAGCTTAAACTTCCCTTCGCCTCTATTCCTTTCTTTCGTCCTGAATACCGAATCCTATCCTCTATAATTCTTTCCCACCCCCTTCTGCTCTCTTTCAGCGGTTGTTCCGTCCTTTCATACCATCTGAACCACAATCACCAACGTCCCGCGCCCTTCCTTTGCTCACCTAAAGATACTTGTCGGCCACCCCCTCGACACTGCTTTCTTAAATGGCTTTTGATCGAATTCTTCCCAAGCCCCCTGCTTTACGATATGATCCTCCTCTGGCCACGCTACCTCTGTCAACCGGTAGTCTCCTTGACCATAAGATCATGAACGACGGATACTCGAAAATGCCCGTGATGGACCATCACCATCGCGATGCCGCTCCGTTCGTGGCGCCTCGTCGGTGGGCCGACAGCTTCACCCATACGCACATGGCCCACAATCGGCACAAGATGGCCATGAACAAAACCGTACCTTCCCTGGAGGCCTCGAAACCACCGACTTTTTTGGGCACCAAGTCAATCCCTCTACGCGAACGGTCTTCCGTATCAGAGCGCTCATCCTCGTCCAGCCCGATCAAAGCTGTGGCTCCGACCACGAGAGAATCCGCAGCCAATTTCTGCCTATGTCAGCCAGATCCGAAAATCCCCAGACCCAGGAACGGTATGTAGCTTCAGGCGCGCACGGATAGCTGTCGCTATCGTACCTCCATGTGCAGACCCGCTGACCAATGCAAATGCAGCATTCATCTTGTACCGTCAGCATTGGCAAGCATCAGTCGTGGCTCAATATCCGGGGCTTGCCAACCCTGAAATCTCTAAGATCATCGGGGAGCAGTGGAGAAAACTGCCCCAGGACACCAAAGACACCTGGAAGGCTCTAGCAGAGGTGAGTGGAGTTCACCAGCTTGGGTCACCCGATCATGCCTTTTTAACATGATTGATTGTTTAGGAGGAGAAAGCCCGCCATCAGCAGCAGTATCCGGAGTACAGATATCAGCCTCGTCGCTATGGTCGCGATGGGAGTTCCCGTAACGCCAGCTCTGGCATCAGCCATAACCCGCCCGGCTCCACAGTCTGCAGCCGGTGCGGTGGCCGAGTTATGAACCCGCCCGTATCACCGGACGCGCCGCCTTTCACCCCCAGCACCTCGAGGTTCACCAGCGTCTCTCCACAGGTCGAGACGGTCGCCGTGCGCAGCAGTCAGGCTCGGTCCAAAGACATGGATCGGGCCCCGAGTGTGGTCCGAATCGCCCCCACCGGGGAGTCACAGTCACCTCGTCAGCGTCATTTGGAGGAGAGTGGCAGCCGGTCTCCGGATAGCAAGCGCCGTCGATTCAATCCCCAGGTTTCTTTCAAGAACAACATTCAACGTGACCGGAGCCCTGATTCTACATATCCCGTCTCTCCTTACACACCTCACTCGACTGTTTCCGACACAAGAGGGTTTCTTCAATTGGCGCCACCTCAGAGACCCATTCGAAATGTGAAGGATTTTACTCCACCAGACCCTAGCCTCAAACTCCCTCCCCTACAGACCACTGCCGTTTCTTCTTCCCAACCGGGAGCTATGACCCCGATGACGCCCTTCGCACGGGACGGATCTACCCTCGAGGCCACGGTCATGACGATCCCATTCCTCAATAAGATCAAGGTCCTTGCTAAGATCTCACCTCCTCTCGCACCTCCATACCACGGCACCGGGGCACCACGGCGGGGGGCCGTGATCGCGGTGGATGGGCAGGATCCAGCTTTGGTCAAGACAATGGTCGACCATCTCAACAGCACCCTGCAGAAGGAAGGTAGATATCAGACCCACACTTTCACCGGACCGGACATCAATCCCCGAAAGAGCTACTCCGACTCGGATCAAATGGGAGACGCGACGGTCGACTACCTCAACATCATCTCCGAATGGCACCGCATCTCCGATAAGATCATCAACTTTGTCAAGCCGGCACGGGCCTCGTCCGAGCCTAAATCCGAAATTGAGGAGCCCACGGGCGTGTCACCTCGAACGATAATCCCGAAGACTGCTGAGATGCAGA